GCAGGGTGCAAAACCGAAACCAAAACCCACTGCCATTGAGTAGATTCAGACTCATAGCACTCCCCATTGGGTTTGCGATGCTGTAAATCTTTACAGAAGTGGATTGCCCAGGTTTCCTTTCATGGAATAGCTGGTGAGTTTGCCAACCTTCTGGATAGCCGTCAGATGCCTTTGGCACTATGCCACCAGCACTCCTTTATATAACAGTGGGGGGGCTAGTCACTAATAATTGCTGTAGTGTTACATCAGATGGTACAATTTGTGAATTGAGCAGAGACCTCAGTTTTCATGGCTCCTCTCAGCTCTTTAATACTTACTCCCATGGCCCGTCTCTCTCAGACAGACAGAAAAGGTGACCAAATATCTGAGTTTTTGAAAAGTAGCTTACCGACATGTGAAAATCCATAATCCTCTAAAAGAAGCTCTGATGATGTAGTGCCTAAGGCATTTGACTGGTAACCAGAAGGCTGAAGGTTCAAACCCACCAGCCACTCCTTGGAAGACGATTGGGCAATCTACTTCCATAGTGATACCACCTCAGAAAGCCAAGGAGGGGTCACTATGAGTTGGATCCAACTTGACAGCAGTGTGTTTTGTTTTTTTGGTTTGCAGTAGATGACATGTCATGTCCTGATCCCCTAGAGTTGTTCAGAAAATTATGACTAGCTCAAGGCCGTTGTTGCCAGTTTGGGTCCGTGGTCCTCCCATGACAATGAAGGGCAAAGCTGCCATTTTGCAGTGTTTATTAGTTGTTAATACCTCATCCTGCCGTCACATGGATTTTTTTGTTTTGTTGGGTAGCTCAGTGTGTCCTATCCAAGGAGGTGTAATCGATCACAAAGAAGTGATGATCTGAGAGCATTTCTTTAATTTTTACTGTATTTTCTAACTTTTCTACACCATAAAGAGAGAGGAATAAGAATGCAGGTGGTCCCACTCAAAGTGTGGAGACCTTATTTCAGTGTGTTAGAGGTCTGGGAGTCAAGAGGCAATCATTGAGGAAGTAAATGTGGTTAGTGAAGGGATGAAGCTGATGGCAGTCCTGTGTAGAGTAGACCTCGGTAGAACACAGAACCTTGTGTCACATCCCTATAGTTCTGGTTCTCTAGGACTGTCACCCTCACTGTTCATGCTTGTACACATAGGAGTACATGGTACCTTGCTAATCTCAAATGTGTGGGCTGTTTTAGGACTCAGTGGTCATGGAGGATGTGGCCGTGCTCTTTACCCATGAAGAGTGGGCTTCCCTGGATCTTGATCAGAGGAAACTGTACATAGATGTGATGTTGGAAACCTTAAGAAACCTGGCCTTCGTGGGTAAGAATGGCATCATTAACTTGAGTGAAGTGAAAGGTATAGAAAAGAGTAAGAAAATAAATATGTGTAACATTAGTTTCTCAACCAAATGTTGATGTTTGTCACAAATCCACCTAGCAACAGAAACAGCTCATATTATTCATAAATACAATAGGACATTTGCTGATTATTCAAAGTACTTGAATTTTTTAAGAGGCAGGTAACGTCTGTGGAATAAGTTGTTCAATAAAACAGCCATGGTCTCTTGGTGTATGGTGCTCACATACCCTACCCTTCCCATGAACATCAAGCTGTGTATATTCACATGACCTTTCATTTCTCTTGTGTTTGAAAGCCCTGTGGCTATTTCAGTGTTGTAAGTATAAGCATTGACTGCAGGGGTCACTTTGGGTAACTGAGAGCTTTGTGGGTTTTGCCGTTGTAGAGAGATTGACTGTGTTGATTACAGGTGTGCCATGCTTACTTTATTGCATATAAACACACACCCTGAAGAGCAAAATACTGGCTGAGAGTAGAGGAAATGTTCATTGCTCTTCATTGTCTTCCCTCATGATATGCATTTCCCTTGAGGGCTGTGTTAGTGCTATCTGTTTGATTTTCCAGACAAGCAAGGGAAAGATCTGAGCACAGTAGAGGCAGGCCTTACCCAGGGTGACTGTTCAGTGAAGCACCAGGAAAGCAAAAATGACATGAAGGACCAGCCCTGCTTAGAAGGAATTACATTTGAATCCGTCACCTAGAAAAAGTCTCTTTTGGGTTGAGGACACAAATTCACAGATAATTTACTTTTCTAAATCTGTCACACCTGTTGTCATGGACACCCTTCCCTCTTCTAATGTTACATGTATATTATATCCAATAATACTTTGCATAGCCTTTGTATTTACATGTATGTATCACACCATCACTCAATCTCATGGAAATATATCCTACTAAACTAGTGTTTACCCATTGCCAAAGTGCCAAAACAGGAAATCTGTGGTGAAACCAGAGCCGTTTTCCCATGATTCTTTTTTTTTTTTTCCTGTGTTTTACATTGTGAATCTCAACCTGAATTATTGGATCAGTCTCGAGAAACTTTAATGATGGAGAAAAGTTATCCAGTGAACATACAGTGATGAGCTTTGTGAAGGACAACTCCCAGTTCTGCATGTTAGGAGAAATCTCTGAATCACATGGCAGTGGAGGAGTTCCCCATAAAAATCAGAGGAGATACTTGAGGTAAGTGTTATTCAAATATGAGAAAACAGTGCAGCAGGATAAAGTCCTAAGGTGTCACAACATTAAAATACAGCTATTGGTATATGTGTATATATACCAGTGCTTTGAATCGGTACCAGTCAGGAATTGCCGGTATAAATGAAGGCAGGGTATGCATTGTATAGCAACTGTTTCTGTTGGATTTTGGTCCAAGTAGGAAATTATCAGTTTCCTACTCAAAGATTGTGCCTGACTGCACTTCCAGAGAGGTGACAAAAATTCAGTTCCCCCATAGATCCTGGGAGCTCTGGTAGCGTAGTGCCTAAGGCACTTGACTGCTAACCAGAAGGCTGGCGGTTCAAACCCACCAGCCACTCCTCGGAAGGAAGATGGGGCAGTCTACTTCTGTAGTGATACTGCCTCGGAAACCCAAGGAGGGGTCGCTATGAGTTGGGTTTGACTTGACGGCACATAACAAGAACAACAACAACATAGATCCTGAAATTTTTAGGAGCCTGATGCAAGTCATTGGCTTACTGGCTGCATTGTGGAGAGTGACAGACATTCAGAGTGATACAGTTCTTCATGTTCATTGAGGAGGCATCATGGTTGGTTTTCTACTCTGGTGAAAAAGAGACACTCAATGCATTTGCTTGCTCAGCACTGTATACAGTGCAGTGCTTTCATTTACGCTGAGAATTGCCAAACCATTGCATACTTTTTTGAGGCCCTGATAACTATCTCTGTGTGTGTGTGTGTATGTTTTGGTGTGTGAAAAGCTAGGTATAAAATTATGTGTTCTGAGAATTTTTTACAATACACCATGTTTATATATGTGAGCCACATATCAAGTATTCAGATAATATTTAAAAAAAATTTTATTGTGATTTGGGTGGAAGTTTACAGAGCAATTTCATTTTCCATACAGCAGTTCTTGCACATCAAATCCTATTTTATGTGGTCAGAATTGTTAAGAAGTTTACAAAAACAGTTACAACAAAGGTAGTATATCCACTGGATGATTTCACCTATAGAACACACGACATGTTGGTACAAAAAACATGCATGTTCACTTTGCGAGGTGATGGGACAATGGTAACAAATTCATTTCCAAAAGCATATTGCCTGTCTTTAACAGAAATTGTACAGTGGAGAGTCTTTTTGAAAGTAATGAAGGCAAGCAGTGTGAAAAAACCTTCAGCCAGATTCCAAATTCGACAGTGTTAGAAAGCAGTCCTCCTGAAGTATATCCTGTTGGATGCTGCTGTAAGTGTGGAAACAACTTCATGGCTCATTCACCACAGAAGGATCCTACCAGATTTGACACTGGATGGAATCCCTATCGGTATAAAGAATGGGAAGAAGCCTGCACCTGTCCCTCTCACCTCACCATTCCTATGCGAACTTGCAATGGAAAGAAACCACAGAGAAGTAATGTATGTGCGAAGGACTTCATTTGTACCTCAACCCTCAAAAATACTGTGACAACTTACCCTGGTGACAAATGCTGTGAAAGTAATGAATGCGGGGATGATTTCTGTAATGTGTCTTTCTGTTGGACACATGTAAGAGGCTGTAAGCATGAGGGTCGAGAATGTAGTAAAACCTATAATCCTTCATCTTTCATTTTACATAAAACCTTTCAAAATGGAGATAGGCCTTATGCAGGTAAGGAATGTGGGAAAGCCTTTAGTGATTCCTCACTCCTCACTAATAATGTATCAACTCACACTGGAGCAAAACCTTACATATGTAATGAACGTGGAAAAGCATTTAGGAAAATCACAAACTTTAGTACATATAGACAGACTCACTCTGGAGAGAGCCCAAGTGAATGTATAGAAAGTGGGAAAACTTTTAGTCATTCCTGTTGGCTCGCTGAACACAAAACAACACACAGTGTAGAGAGGCCTTGTGAAAATAGGGAATGTGGGACAGCCTGTGGTTATTCCTCAGCCCCCTTTCACCATATATACTGTCCCAATACAGAGAAACCTTATAAATGTGCAGAATGTGGGGCACCCTTTAGATATTCCTCACACCTCACTTTACATATAAAAACTCACAGTGGAGAGAGACCATATGAATGTAAAGAATGTGGGAAAGGCTTCAGTCGTTACTCATACCTCACTAGACATAAACGGACTCACAGTGGAGAGAGGCCCTATGAATGTAAACAGTGTGGGAAAGCCTTTAGGGATTCCTCAACCTTCACCAGACATAAAAGAACTCACAGTGGAGAGAAGCCTTATGAATGTAAAGAATGTGGGAAAGCCTTTAGTTATTCCTCATCCCTCCCTAAACATAGAAGAATTCACAGTGGAGAGAAGCCCTATGAATGTGAGGAATGTGGCAAAGCCTTTAGTGATTCCTCAGGTCTCAGTCAACATAGAAGAACTCACAATAGAGAGAGGTGTTATGAATGTAAAGAATGTGGGAGAGCCTTCAGTTATTCCTCAGCTTTCAGTAAACACTTAAGAATTCACAGTGGAGAGAAGCCTTATGAATGTCAGGAATGTGGGAAAGCCTTTAATTGTTCCTCAGCCCTCAGCAGACATAAATGGATTCACAGTAGAGAGAGACCCTATGATTGTAAACAATGTGGGAAAGCCTTTAAAGATTCCTCAGCACTCACTAGACATAAAAGAACTCACAGTGGAGAGAAGCCTTATGAATGCAAGGAATGTGGGAAACCCTTTAGTTATTCCTCATCCCTCCCTAATCATAGAAGAATTCACAGTGGAGAGAGGCCCTATGAATGTAATGAATGTGTCAAATCCTTTAGTGATCCCTCAGGCCTCATTCAACATAGAAGAACTCACAACAGAGAGAGGCCTTACAAATGTAATGAATGTGGGAAAGCCTTTAGTTACTCTTCTACTCTCACTAAACATATAAGAACTCACACTGGAGAGAAGCCTTACGATTGTAAGGAATGTGGGAAAGCCTTTAGTTGTTCCTCAGCCCTTAGCAGACATAAGTGGACGCACAGTGGAGAGAGGCCTTATGAATGTAAAGAATGTGGGAAAGCCTTTAGGGATTCCTCAGCCCTCACTAGACATAAAAGAAGTCACAGTGGAGAGAAGCCTTATGAATGTAAAGAATGTGGGAAAGCCTTTAGTTATTCCTCATCCCTCCACAAACATAGAAGAATCCACAGTGGAGAAAGGCCCTATGAATGTGAGGAATGTGGGAAGGCCTTTACTGATTCCTCAGGCCTCAGTCAACATAGAAGAGCTCACAATAGAGAGAGGCCTTACGAATGTAAGGAATGTGGGAAAGCCTTCAGTTATTCTTCAGACCTCAAAAAACACATAAGAACTCACAGTGGAGAAAAGCCTTATGAATGTAGGGAATGTGGGAAAGCATTTAGTGATCCCTCAAGCTTCAGTAAACATAGAAGAGCTCACAATAGAAAGGCATTATGAATGTAAGGAATATGTGAAAGCCTGTACTTGTTTCTCATACCTCATTTCACATATAATAACAGTGGAAAGACTACTTTGTCAATAGTGGGATGTTTCCTGCCTACTGTGATTTCAAACAGCAAATTTCTGAAATCCTGTACTTAAAGAACAGTGTTTCTCAGTGAATAAGGAAACAATATTATTTCAAAGAGAAGGGATCATTAAAATTACTGTATACTTTTGAGAGAAATGACTTGATTATCACTGTGGGACTGATTTCATCAGTGTTTGTTACTTTCTCACTCCAAGGTAAATTCTGCCTTTCTTACAAATCTGTCTAGTCCAAATAAAAGGGTACAGTAAATTGCCTTGAGGAAATATGCTTTTACATTTTTTCATGTTTTTATTGATGTGTGTTGCTTATGTGTCAGAATTGACTCGGTGTAAGGGAGTTTTATGATGATTATTCCTGTGGTGTTTGCATATAATTAATTACAACAATTTTATATTTTGAGGGTTTTTTTTTTTTAAATTTAACAAGTCCTTCCATTTTTTTTCCTATTATAAAATTAATGATTTTATCCTTTGTAGTTTCTCATTGGGTGATACTTGGACACTACAAATAGTCTCTTTTTCATCATATTTTTGCTTACTAATTTTTGCATCTATTGATAATTACATTCTATGATAATTGTTAAGGAGTGCTGGCATTATAAGGCATTTAGTTGCTAACTTGGGGGTTCAAACCCAACAGACACTCTATAGTACAAAGATGAGGCATTCTACTTTAAAGATTTGCAGCCTTGGAAACCCAAAGGGAGTTGCTATGCATCGGATTCGACTTGGTGTTAGTGAGTTTTATGATAATTATTACTGTGGTGTTTACTGTTCGTGTTATTTG